CAACCTTTCTTGCTATCCTTTCTAAATTATTAAGATAAACTTTGTTGTTGTTGTTGAATGCCATGGAGTCAGTTATGACTCATAGCAACCCTGAATAGGGTTTCCAAAGAGTGACTGGTGGGTTTGAACTGCAGTGCAGTACTTATCCTACAGTGCCACACCAGAAACCCAAGATAAACTTTATTATTGTTAAGTGCTGATAAGTCGGCTTCAACTCATAGTGACCCTGTATAGGGTTTCCAAAGAGCTGTTGGAGGTTTGAACTGCCAACCTTGTTGTTCACAGCCCAGTGCTGATCCTACAGTGAAACACCAGGAGTCCAACCTCAGATATTGGTTATGTACCATGGAGTTGATTCTGACACATAACGAACCTGAATAGGGTTTCTGAGGCTGTAAATCTTTACAGGAGTAGAAAGCCTCATCTTTCCTCCATGGAGCAGCTGGTAGATTCAAACTGCTGACCTTGCAGTTAGCAGCTAAGCTTGTAATCCACTACACTACCAGAACGCCTTTGTTGTTGTTGTTCTTAGGTGCCATTGAGTTGGAACCGAGTCATAGCGACCTTACGCACAGCAGAACAAAACACAGCCCAATCCTGGGCCAACCTCACTATTGTTGCCTTGCTTCAGCACATTGATGCTGCCACTTGCCCAATCCATCTCACTGGGGGCCTTCCTCTTTTTCTCTGACCCCCATCTTACCAAACATGATATCCTTCTCCAGCAATTGGTCCCTCCTGACAATATGTACAAAGTATTAGAGATGAAGTTTGGCCACCTTGGCCTCTAAGGAGCATTCTGGCTACACTTCTTCCAAAACAGATCTATTGGTTCTTTTGGCATCCCATGGCACTTTTAGTATTCTCCTCCAACACCATAATTCAAAGGCATCAATTCTTCTATGGTCTTCCTTATTCACTGTCCGGCTTTCGCATGCATATGAGGTTATTGAAATTATCATGGCTTGAATCAGGTGCACCTTAGTCCTCAAGCTGACATCTTTGCTCTTCAACACTTTAAAAAGTTCCTGTGCAGCAGATTTGCCTAATGCAACATGTCATTTGATTTCTTGACTGCTGCTTCCGTGAGTGTGGATAGTTGATCCAAGAAGAATGAAGTCCTTGACAACTTCAATCTTTTCTCCATTGATAAGAATACCTTTACTGCCCCCTAAACTTCTCTACCACTATTCGTCTATCAGTTTGTCATACTGTACTGGCTTGTTTCTTATTGTGAGTCTGGAAACCAGGTATTTTAAATACAAGCAGGGGTACCCATGGTGGACAGATTTCAGTAGAGCTTCCAGACTTTGAAGAAGGAGAGTCAGACTACTGCTGAATGTTTAGTCACTGAAAACCTTATGAATAGCAGTGGAACATTGTTAGTAATAGTGCCAGAAGATGAAAACATTATGAATAGTACCAAAATATTGTCAGATATAGTGCCAGAAGACGAAACATTATGAATAGCAAAGGAACATTGTCAGATATAGAACAGGAAGGTGAGCCCCTCAGGTTAGAATACACTCAAAATACGACTGATAAAGAACTGCCTCATCAAAGTACAGTTAATGATGTTGGAGGAACAAACCTTTCAGGACCTTCATTTGCTGACGGGGAACAATTCAAAATGAGGAGAAAGGGCTGCAAACATCCACTAGCAATCAGAACATGAAATGTACAAAGTATGAATCTAGGAAAGTTGGAAGTTTTCAGAAATGAAATGAAATTCATAAAGATCAATATCCTAGGTGTTAGTGAGCTAAAATGGACTGGTATAGGCCATTTTTAATCTGACAATCATATAGTTTACTAAGACCACAAAACTGAAGAGCAATGGTGTCACATTCATTGTCAAAGAGAACATTTCAATATCTATCTTGAAGTATAATTATGTCTGTGATAATATAGTATCCATAAACCTACAAGGAAGACCAGTTTTTATTTGAATTTGTACACCAACCAGTAAAGTCAATGATGATGAAACTGCAGAATTCTGCCAACTTTTTCTGACAGAAATTGATCAAACATGCAAACAAGATGTATTGATAATTACTGTGATTGTAATGCAAAAGTTGGGGGGGAAAAGAGAAAGGATCAATAGCTGGAAAATATGGCCTTGGTGATAGAAATGATGCTGGAGACCTCAGGATAGAATTTGGCAAGACCAATGACTTCTTCATTGCAAATATATATTTTTTAACAACATAAAAGGCAACTATATGCATGGATCTGACCAGATGGTATACACAGGAATCAAATTGATTACCTCTGTGGGAAAAGGTGGTGGAGAAGCTCAGTATCATCAGCCCAAACAAGGCTAAAGGCAGTCTGGTCACATACAATTTCAGACTGAAGCTGAAGAAAATTAAAACAAGTCAATGAGAGCCAAAATATAAGTATTCATAATTGGATTATACAAAGAAGAATGTGGCATCAAGATTGGAGGAAGACTCATTAGCAACCTGCAGTATGCAGATCATCCAACTTTGCTTGC